TTATATTTAAGTGGATCATTTGTCAAGACTTCTGAGGTCAATGAGATATTCAATATCGAAACTCTGTTTATTATTTAAAAACGAAGAACACAAAGATAATTTTTGAGTATCAAGAACAAATAGAAAAGCATACATTATTTTGGGTTGTTTTAGACTCCATAATCTCCCCAAAACTAAAAAGTACTTAACTAACAAAATCGTCAAATACCCCTAATTAATTTGTATTCCCAACCTTTTAACTATAGCCTAAACAATACCTAATATTTTACAATGATAAATAAACAAAGAGGTAAAAAAGACATTTACTTTGCCTTGAAAAAGATTAGATGGGATGTTTGGTGGCTTTACTTTTGGTTTCTAACATTACATGTTTCTCTCTGACACTTCTAAGAACTTCCAAATTTTTGTTCATCCAATCATGATTTCCTCTAATTATGCTTCATAGGCGAAACCAATCCCTCCCAAATCTATATTTGTTCACTCTCCGCATGATTGATAAGGATAGAAGTGAAAATCTTTTTGTCCTTCCAAGCCTAATTCCTCTATAGCTGTATTTCTAAAGAGGATTACAAGGTAGCTATATGACTTAAATAAAAGATGTATACTTTAATCATTGTGTTTTGCTTACAATTTATTACGAGTATTTATAAAGATGTTATTGATCGTTTGAATGGAAGATGAAAAGAAGGAAGATCAAGTGAACGACGTTTCACAAGTTTGGAATTAAAATTTTTTAGTTTCGAAAATGATCTAAAATCAGACCACATATAATAAATGTAATTTGGAACACTTGAATGGTAAGTACATCATTAACTAGTTCCGATAAGTTTTATGCTTATACAATCGTGACACGTGACAAATCTATTAATAAGATTTTAACATGTGTAAAAAGAAAAATTATACAATAAATTACTAATCCTAAAACTAAAAGGATTAAAAAATCTATTTTGTAAAAAGTATATCAAAACAAAATAATATAGTAAATTACTAATCCTAAAAACAAAAAAAAATTACAATTACTATTCTTTGAAGTTATATATTAAAAATTAAAATTATTTAAATATTAAAATTAACTAAAACATATAGGGGGTGATTGGAAGAGGCTTTAAGGGCTTTAGATTTTTTTAAAGTAAAGTCAAATATTTACCAATCACAATTTTAGGACTTTAAGTTTTTTTAAAGTTCTTAAAGTCTAACTGCCCACTTTTTTCTTTTTTAGGTTGAATTTTCTAAAGTCTCAAATATGAGGCTTTCAAACAAATAATAAAACTTCAAAATAAATAATAATTAAAAACTTTCTTTTTTCTTCTCCGCATAATATTTATTTTGTCAACTTCTTCTCCGCATAATAATTAGAATCTTTTTACATGTTTACATATATTGTTTCACAAATATTTTTTGATAATTTAATTATTATCATTTTTCAATCTTTCTTTTAAGATCCATTTCAAGAATAATCATTTTATTTTCATAATCACCATTAATATTGGTATAAAAGAGTTTATAGAATAGTATTTTAATAAAACATATACTTTCATATAGGTGATTCAATTATTTCATAAATTGCTTCATAATTAATAGTTTTATTGACTTTTGATTACTCAAAATTATACAACTACTCAACAAAAAAGAAACATTCAAAACATTCGTCATGAAATAATAAATATAAATAAGGGAGACTCACAAAAATGCCCATTTTTCAATACCCCTTTTCAAAAATGCCCCCTTTGGCTGTCCATTTTTAAAAATACCCTTTTTATGTACAAAATGACTAAATTACCCTTCTTTTAATAAAAGATATCACAAATATATAAGGAAATATAACAAAATTAGGTCCACAAAATACAAAATATTTTTTGGCGGGAAAAGTGATCCCGCAATTTTTCCCGCCAAAACACTTGTAAAAACTTGTAAAACCTTTAAAATACCTTGTAAAATTTTCCCGTAAAATTTTTTCCCGCCAAAAAATTTTCCCGTTAAAAAATTTTTTGGCGGGAACAGTGATTCCGCAATTTTTTGGGCGTTAATTTTTGGCGGGAAAAATTTACAAGGTATTTTAAAGGTTTTTTACAGGGTATTTATAAGTTTTTTCAATGTATTTTAAAAAGTTTTACAACGTATTTATAAGGTATTTATAAGGTATTTATAAGATATTATAAGATTTTACAAGCTATTTTATAAGGTTTTACAAGTTATAAGATTTTACAAGTTTTTTATAAGGTTTTACAAGTTATAAATACCTTATAAAACCTTATAAGTACCTTGTAAAACCTTTTAAAATACAATGTAAAACCTTACAAAACACTTGTAAATACTCCGTAAAACCTTTAAAATACCTTGTAAATTTTTCCCGCCAAAAATTTTCTCGCCAAAAAAATTTCGCTAAAAAAAACTGGGCAATCACTTTTCCCGCAAAAAAAATTTTTTGGCGGGAAAATTTTTTTGGCGGGAAAAATTTTTACGGGAAAATTTTACAAGGTATTTTAAAGGTTTTTACAAGTGTTTTGGCGGGAAAATTGCGGGATCACTTTTTCCGCCAAAAAATATTTTGTATTTTGTGGACCTAATTTTGTTTCAAATAAGGGTAAAATGGTCATTAAAAATTAAAAGAGGGCAAACTTAAAAATGGACTCTCAAATGGGGCATTTTTGAAAAGGGGTATTGAAAAAGAGGCATTTTTAACAATTTCTCTATAAATAAATGTGTTCATTTAGAATATTTATTTCTTATTTTATTTCTAAACCTTTGTCATTTTTTTAAAATAAAATTTTTATTATTAATAATTTGATTTTTAGTTTATCCACTTTTTAATGTAATGTTTGGTTATTAGAGCATCTCCAATGGTTACCTTCAAATATATCTTCAAAATTGAAGTTTCTTCAAATTTGAAGATAAAAATGAAGCAAGCCTTTTCCAATGGTTTCCTTCATTTTCTACTTCAAAAAGAATATTCTAAGTATATTCTATCTCTATTTTATTATTAATTACTAACAAAACCCTTTACTTTCTAAACTTATGAATTTTAACCCGTTTATTTTATAGTAAGCAAATAGTCTAACAAATTTTATTTAAAGTACATTATTATCACATTACATAAGATTAATTAAAAACCTATATTTATGATGCAATTGTAGACATATACTTCTCCCACAAATGATCAATTAATGCATACCGAAGTGAGAAATGAGCTTCTTTATCCTTTATTTTTCTGAATCGAGCGAGGAATTCTTGGAATCGGGTATTTTCATCATTTTCCATTTCAACATCCGGAGGTGGAGTTTCTCTTCCAACTTCAATTGGCGCATCGAGATCACGCTCATCTTCAATTATCATATTATGTAAAATTATACATGTAGTCATTATATCATGTATCACGCTTTTCTCCCAAAAACGAGCTGGTCCTTTCACGATTGCGAAACGTGATTGGAGAACTCCAAAGGCACGTTCTACATCTTTTCTACACGCTTCTTGTTGCGTAGCAAAATATTTTTTTTTAGAACCCATAGGCTCGTGAATAGTTTGCACTATAGTAGACCATTTTGGATATATACCATGAGCGAGATTGGAAAAGAGATGGGAAGACTCCAACACATTGATATCATTATTGGTGCCTGACATACCAAAATATGCATGCCATATCCAAAGATCATAATCTGCCACGGCCTCAAGTATTATTGTTGGTGATCCACTGCGACCTGTATATTGTCCAGCCCAACCGGTAGGACAATGTTTCCACTTCCAGTGCATACAATCTAAGCTTCCTAGCATTCCAGGGAAACCCCGTTTTTCACCAATGTAAAGAAGTCTTGAAACATCATTAGGTGTTGGTGATCGTAAGTATTGGTCTGAAAATATTTCCACTACTGCTCGGCAAAATCTTTTCAGGCTTTCAATCGCCGTTGATTCTCCAATCTTGATATACTCATATGTGGCATCCGCTGGTAAATCATATGCAAGCATCCGAAATACCGATGTTACTTTCTGAAGGGATGATAATCCAAGTCTACCGGTTGAATCCCTTCGTTGTTGAAAGTAATTATCATGATCTTCTACTGCATTAATAATACGAAGAAATAGAGGACGGGCCATACGATATCTTCTGCGGAACATAGCATCCTTGTAAATTGAATTTTCTGAGAAGTAATCGTTGAACAATCTCCAGTGTGCACTTTCTCGATCACGGTGAATGAAAGAACGTCCGGGAACTGAGCCACCATGGATCACCTGGCTGGTTTGTTGATTAAGAAGATATTGAATGATCGTGTTGTTATTAGCGATAGTTAATTGTATCGCTTCTTCTTCTTGGTCAAGAGTATGGAGAATCTCCGTATTCTCATCATCATCAGAAGAGGATGAGGAAGAGGATATATTTGTCAAATTAAAATTCATTTCAAAAGAGAGAATTTAGGATAAGAAAAATATAAGTATATATTGGCTTGTGATGAGTAACATAGAATTTTGATGGAATTTATAGAGATAACATGTGAAAATATATTAATTTTTAAAATCAGTTTTGTTTTGTCAAATTTTGTCATAATGGATTTTCTTGTCACTTTGTCATTGTATTGTCTACTCTTGTTG